AAAATAATTCAAAATCTTTATAAATAGAAGGGCTCTACATGCTACAGAAAATTATACAATAGTTCTGAAATATTACGTAATCATACTTTTTTGGCAATTACTATTTAGGGGTTGTTTGGAATGATCTAAATAAGTATAATTTTTGAATTTTTATAAAAAGATGTGTAGAAAAATAGAGAGATAATATGACACAAATAAGTGCACTTATATCAATCATGTCAAATAACTCCTTATTAGAGTATCAGCATCAGACTCTCTAAAAAGGCTTTGACGCTATTGTAGAGAGGCAAAGCTATAAATTTCTTCCTCTGATCAAGCGAGCAACTATTCGTAGAACAATCAATTTTTTATTATATTTTTTTCCCGCGCTTCTTTCTCCCACCAACAAGAACACCATCTCTCATACTACCATTATTGTCAACAATCACCAGAGCCATCTCACAAATTTCATTCTCACCATCTTGGAAGTTCATCAGGTTCTCTCTCTCTCTCTCTCTCTCTCTCTCTCTCTCTCTCTCTCTCTCTCTCTTTTATGTATTAGTTGATGAACTAGATTCACTTTTGTTATTATACACATATATGTTCTTGCATTGTAACTGTTTGATAAAATGTCTCACTAGTTTATCCAATATGCTATGCCAACTGATTGATTAGTAAACTAAGAATATTGATTTTCAACATAGCTTTATAGAACACCAAAACCATTTTTGTTCTCATTTTTTCAACTTGGAATCCATATTGAAGAAAAAAAAGAAAAGAAAAAATAATTAGCTCAAAAACAGAACAACCGACCATATTTTGAATACATTGCACCCTTGTGTTTTCTAAGTTGTACCCTCTACATTGAATTGTAATTTTCCCTTAATCGATTCCTATTGCACATTAGGATTGGAATAGTTAAGGATGATAATTTTGGAATTTTATATTTTTGTCATCTCTATAAATAAATAAACACATGTGGTTATTTCTTAAATAATCAGTGCACTCGCAATTCTTGTAGGGATAGAGTCAAATGGAGACCCATTTTTTGCCAATCTTTTACAAGAGGGATCTAACTTTGATAGCCAATTTATGGAGTCTCAGTATATGAGTCAAGTTGGTCAAGTGATTGGCCAAGAGTCTTCATTCTCTACTCAATTGGAATCCACTACTAAGAAATCATGTTGAGGCAACTTTTCCATAGAAGAAGATAATATGGTTGTATCGGCTTGGCTCAACACTAGCTTGGATGCAATGTATAGAAATGAGCAAAAAAGCAAGACCTTTTGGAGAATAGTTGGGGAGTACTTTCACGAGCATAAGACATTTATTAGTGAACGTAACAATAATTCTTTGATGAATCGGTGGTCAATTATTCAACTTGGCACTAATAAGTTTTGTGGGTACTTTGCCCAGATTGAAGCATTACATCAAAGTGGTGTTAACGAGCAAGACAAGGTATTAATTACATTGATCTTTATACTTTTCCTAGCATTTTCATTTTATGTTAAGAAGCTAATTATTGGCTTTTAATTTTTTATTTTAGATTGGCAAGGCAAAAATCATGTACCAAGAGGTTAATAAAACCTCATTTCAATTTGAACATTGTTGGAATGAGTTGAGGCATGAACCAAAATGGTTCGGGCAATGCCAAAGGAAAAATCGAAAAGGATTAGAAATGACCCAACATCTTCACCTTCAACACCAGAGCCAATCGACCTAGCAGAAGATGATATCTCACCCTTGGAGAGACCTATGGATAGGAAAGCAGAAAAGAAGCAGTTGAAAAAAGTAAAGAACCATGACAGTTGTTCTCCAATTATGGATTTACAGAATGAGATGAAAGAAGAAAGAAAAGAGGAACTGAGAAGAAACTTGCACTTCTTCAAAACTCGTATCATATTCATGCTTCAAGTGCTCGAATTGAACAATTAAAAGAGAAAGAGAGAATCATGATGATTGATACAAGTGAGATGTCCCCAATGCAGGAAGAATATTATCGCCTATGCCAATTGGAAATCATTGAGAGTAGGAAAAAAATTAATGATGTGGAGTAATTGAATGATTTCTACTTGGATGATTTGTAATATTTGACACGTTTGACATGCTTTTGTATTTGGATGTTTTTGAAATGTTTATGTTTGGATGTTTTTGGAATGTTTATGCTTGGATGACTTCATGTTTAGATGATTGAATCCCAAATGCCTTCTTTATATGTATGTTGTAGGCAGCAAAACTAAACGGCAGCAAAGTTGGACCAAAAAGCCATGGTCGTCCACCCCGATGTCCTTCCGGATGTCCCCGTGAGAAAAAGAAAAATGCTGAAATTTTGCCTAACCGGTCAACTGCCTGGTCGACCACCCTTTAGTGGGTTCGGCTCCTGTGTTGCTGGTGCTCTATTATTGCTCTGGTGTTGATCTGTTGCTGTCTTGGGCCTTATTTTATTCCTGTTTTAACATTATTTTGCACTCCAAAAATATAGTTAAACACAAGGAGCATTTAAGGATTATAATGATTTAATTAAAATTTTTCAATTCAATTATAATCCATTTTTCATTACTAAAACAAATAATTAAAAACATAATGCATTTATTTGCCACAAAATAATTAAAACATGACACAATGTCCTATGATTGGCTATATAGTTGCAATAAGTACTCGACAAGATCTAATTGGAGTTGATAATGAATTGCTTTGTTTCTGATGCGGTGATTTTGTTGAATGAATTCCATAAGCTCGGTTGTACGCTCATGTGACACTTGTGCCAAAGAGGTTTCATCGATTTGCTCAAAATCAATGTCTTGTGCTTCATTGTCATCTCGCTCATCTTCAATAATCAGATTGTGCAATATTATACAAGCCTTCATAACAACTTTAATTGACTCAAAATTTCAAGATCGTGTAGGTCCATGCACAATTGGAAAACGTGCTTGAAGCACCCCAAATGTGCACTCCACATCCTTCCTACATGCCTCTTGAAGCACCCCAAATGCACAATTGTGGTACTTTCTCCAATCCTCAAGTATTCATTAACAAAATCAGCTGCTACTCCATAAGCGAGCATTTTAAGTGCTGTAATCATCTTTTGAAGGGAAGATAAACCGAGCACTCCAGCACTATTTCTTTTCTAGACAAAATATGATTTATGAGCTTCTACTGCATATTTAATACGGTGAAAAAGAGAACATTTCATTCGAAACCTCCTCTGAACTATATTGGAAGAATATACTGGTGGATTACCAAAATAATCTAGAAAGAATCTTTGGTGACCTTGCAAAGAATTGTACCAAATGAATTTGTTGCTTCGATTAGAATTAAGTTGTGATCTTGATGAACTATTGGCTGCTAGTCGTTGTCCTTCCATAGCAACTATCCCAATTGTCTCCAACTCATCGTCGAAGTCAAAGTCACAAAGAATCATATCGTCTAGCGAATGGAGATCCATATAGAGAAAACAAATACAAAATGAAATAGCCAAATTAGGTTGACGTGGATAAAATTTATATAGCAGTTGGTTTTATTTATATTGAAAGAATATGACCGATAGAATATAGCCGTTGGAATATGACAATTAGAATATAGTTGTTGAAATATGACCGTTAGAATATAGTCGTTTTAAAAATATGACGATTGAAAAAAAAATATATATTTAAATTGAAAAAGATAAAAAAATAAAAAATAATATTTTAATGAAATAGAATTTTAGAATCTAGAATTTGATAGAGTGTGCATATAAAACAGAGGCTAGCTAAAATACGAAAGTGGATTTTGGATTATAATTTGACTCAAAATTTGTTGAGGCTGATGCAGATGCTCTTATGGCTTATTTTAGAAAGTGGGCTAAAAGCCACTTCTCAACTTTTAACCCACTTTCTCTCTTACAAAAACAAAAACAAAAAAAAAAAAAAAAAAAAAAAAAAAAAAAAAAAAAAAAAAATCAAAATCAAAATCAAAAAGTTAAAAAATTAACTTTTAACCATCTTCCCAAAACATCCCTATGTGGGTGTATGGAAAGTTATTATTTTAGTAGGTTATTTTAGTTTTAGGAAGATAGCTGAATTTTTTTTATAGTTGGATGTGATATTTGTGAGAAAAAAATTAAATAATTAAAAATTTAATGTGACATTTTATCTTATCAATTATTTTAATTTATTTTGTCATTTTATAAATTTTAATCCAGAAGACTAAAAAACACCTTTATCAAACACTCCTATGTCTATTCATATTCTTTAATGACCACGTAACCGTACTCCCAAATTAGCACCGAATAATCAACCACAAGCTTCGGCTTTCATATTAGTAAATCCAAAAAAACCCAACTCACACAAAATGGAAACAATAATGCTACGGGTCAGGAAATGTTTATCAGGAAATGGATCATGAATGAGTTGGCATTGACCAACTCATCTTGGTGGAGCCCCCATATGTTATTAAAAAAGAAAAAGAAAAAAAAAAAGAGAAGTTGGAAAGACTAGAGAGAGAAAGTTGAATGCCTTCTCACCATTGTGATTCTTCTCAGAACGAATTGGGGAGAGAAAGAAAGATAAGCGTCATCGGAATACCTTCTTCTCATAACTCATCTTTGTCATCGTTTGACTGGTACTCCTCTCTTTCACTTGTGAATTTAGCTATTTTCTTTTATTAAAATGTTTTGTTGATGTTGCAGAAAAGCTCAAAAAATTTTCAAAATATTTGAAAGAATGACAATGAAGCTATACATATCTACAGAGCAACTATTAACCCAACTATTCTTTCTTTTTTTTTAATATTCTTTGCATATCTACAGAACATTTGAAATACAGAATTAATTGGGAACTTGTCAATCATGTTGAATGGTAGAAGCTTCCCCTAATAAAATGAAATTTATTCAGTATTTAGTTGAATTTATACAAGTTACGAATTCAATGTGTATGATTCAGAAAATCATCATAATCTTGTTAGTTAGTTAATCCATGTTTTGAATAAATCTTGGGAACAAAACATCAGAACTATAATTAACCAAAGAAGTTTAGAAGATAACCATGGAAGTAACTTGGGCAGCCACTACATCAAACAAGGATGCTTCCCTGGCATTCTTGGCGTATGTCACACATCCACTGAATCGAAGACCAAAAAACTCTGCTACTTCCAGTCTCTGTGCACCAAAATGAAATTAGAAAGTAGAAAAAGCAAAAAACTATACTATAAATTATTATTGTTTATTAAGAGAGATAACACCAGTTATGAATTTATACAAGTTATGAATTCAATGTGTGCAAAATTGTTATGAGATAACACTAGTTGAATTTGTTGCTAAAATTTCTTCTTGAATCTTTTATTGCTGAATTTTCTGCTTGAATTTTTACAAATTTTCAGCAGAAAGTTAAAAAAAATAATTTAATTTTCTACTTAATTAGGAATTTTGTGGCCTTTGTTATGAATAATTTTTTTTTTTCTAATTTGTTATTTACATTGTAGAGGCATGGATAAAGAAATATCAAGTGGATCAAATGAGGACTGTGACGAAATTGATATTGAGACTGAAATAGAAGACACAAAAAATGTAGAAGTTGAAATTGAGGATCCTAAAGTGGGAATGACATTTAAGTCAATTGATGAAATTTATGAATATTATTCAAGATATGGGAAGAGAAATGGTTTTGCAGTGTCGAAGAAATATTGTAAAAGGAGAGATGATGGGGAGAAAAGATATGTAACTATTGCTTGTACTCGTGCTGGAAAAGCAAAAATCAGAACAAGCAATATAGTTAAACTACGCCCACAAACTAAAACGGGATGCAAAGCTGGACTTAATGCAAATTTACAAGGTGATGGAATGTGGATAGTGCGATCCTTAAGACTTGAGCATAACCATGAAATGAGTCCAAGCAAATCTCGTTTTTTTCAAGCAAAATAGGATTCTTGAACCACATGTGCAAAGGAGACTTGAATCAAATGATAGTGCAGGAATTAGGATGAACAAAAATTTTACTTCACTTGTGCTTGAAGCTGGAGGGCATGAGAAGTTGTCATATTTAGAGAAAGATTGCAGGAATCATATGGACAAAGTTCGTCGTTTGAAACTCGAGAAAGGAGATGCCACTGCAATGTATGATTATTTTGTGAATATGCAAGCTGATAATTCAGAATTTTTTTATGTCCTGGATTTGGATGAAGATGGCAAATTACTAAATGTATTTTGGGCTGATGCAAGGAGTAGGGCTGCATTTAAAGAGTTTGGCGATGTGGTTACATTTGACACGACATACTTGGTAAATAAGTATGATATGCCCTTTGCCCCATTTATTGGGGTCAACCATCATGGACAGTCGACATTGTTAGGTTGTGGACTCATTTCACATGAAAATATAGAAACATTTACATGGTTGTTTAAGTCTTGGCTTGCATGCATATCTGGATGTCCTCCAAATGCTATTATTACAGATCAAGATAAAGCCATGAAAAAAGCTATACAAATTGTTTTCCCTAATGTGCGTCATCGATGGTGTTTGTGGCATATCTTGAAAAAATTACCTGAAAAATTGAGAGGATACAAAGAATATAAGGCAATAAAATTTGGTATACAGAATGCAGTTTATAATTCCTTAACAAAAAAGGAGTTTGAAGAAAATTGGAACAAATTGATAGAGAATTATCAACTTGAAGGCAATGAATGGTTATTTGGATTGTTTGAGGATAGACATCAATGGGTACCTGCATTTGTCAAAGATATTTTTTGGGCGGGAATGTCAACCACACAACGAAGTGAAAGCATGCACGCATTCTTTGATAGGTACATCAACTCAAAAACCACTTTGAAACAATTTGTGGAGCAATATGAGAATGCTTTGGCGAAGAAGGTGGAAAATGAAAATGGTGAAGAATTTAATTCTCTCAACTCATACATCCCATGCATAGCTCAGTATCCATTTGAGAAGCAATTTCAAAAAGCTTACACTATTGCAAAATTTAAGGAGTTCCAACAGGAGGTTGCAGGACAGCTTCATTGCAATTTATCTTTGTATACACAAGGTCCTGATTTTTCTGTATATGAAGTGAGTGAAGATGTTCCATTTGGAGAGAATCTTCGATTAGGAACTTTCATTGTCTATTTTGATAAGGAAAACTTTGACACAAATTGTAGTTGTCGACTGTTCGAGTTTAGGGGAATAGTGTGCAGGCATCAAATTGTGGTATTAATGAAAGAAAGGGTTCATGAGATATCAGACAAGTACATTTTAAGAAGATGGAACAAAAATGTGAAAAGGTGCCATAGTAAAGTGATCATCAATTATAACAACTCTTCAATGTTGCCTGAAACACGTCGGTATAATAAAATGTTCAATGTCTTCAATGATGTGGCTGATTTGGCAACTGATTGTGAAAATAGGTGTGATATGGTGGTCGAACAGTTACTTGAACTAAAAGGGAAATTGAAAGAAGAAGTTGAAATTGATTATGGAAATAATAAGTCTAGTTTTGTGAGTAATCATCATAATTCAACCACTCATGGAGATGGTGTTTCGAAGTCAAAGGAGAGTAGAATCATACTTGATCCAGTCGCTTTACGTCAAAAGGGGAGGCCACCATGTAAAAGGAAACAATCCATGGTTGAAAAAGTTGTTAACAAGAAGAAGAAATGAGCAAATACCAAGAAAAAGACCATCAACATCCGAGGAAGTGTAGAGGTGTGAAACTTATTTGAATGAGTTAATTTACTATTAAAAAAAAAACTATTATTTTGTTAACTTTCAAATTTTATATTTTGCAGCAATCCGAGTTTGGTGCATCTTCAAATATAGGACTTGTTGATCTTGGTACACAAGAGAGTATTCAAGTGAATGTAAGAAATTTATTTTATTCATTAACTTTATAATTATATGATTTATTTATAGTTGGATTGTCTAATTACTTCTTATATGGCAGGAATCTGAAATATTGGGTCCAAGTTTACAGCAACAAAACATATTTCAAGAAAACTTGTCATACCAACTACGTAATACTCTAGTATGTATTTATTTACATGGTTTTTTGAAAATTTAATATATTTTATTTTTTTTGATAGGGGCATCATCATCCATCTCCATCTTTGATATTCGAACATTCAAGTTTCACAAAAATGTTGAATGACATAGTACAATCATAGGCTAAGAGGACACAAATGGTAGAAGTTAAAAATGTCTACATGACAGGGTTGCTTAGACATTTGTTGCCTTTTTTTAAAAAGTTTATTGAGAATGTTTATATTATATTTTGAGAGACTTGTTTGTTAAAACACAATGATTTTTGTGTTGGATTATATAGTTGAATTATTACATTTAAGCATTATCAATTATTAGAGTTTATTGTGGAACATTGAAGTTTTTTTTATCATGAAATGTGATTTTTTTTTTCCACATTATGAGTAAATTACCATTAAGAATTTTTTTCTTCATTATGAATAAATTTTATTTGTTCTTTAATTTGTGATCTCAACCATGCCCATTAACAGGTTATGTTTGCCATTAAAAATTAAGAAAAAGTCAATGAGGAGTTGCTAGTAACAATCTCAATAAGAGCATGACAAAAATAAAGGTTGCGTTTGGTAGAATTTTGTAAATGTGATTTGAGGGTATGAGTTGTATTTTGAATTTGTGAGTTGTGAAATTATGATTTACGTATAGAAAATTTGTTTGGTTATGATTTTTGAAGAGAATGTTAAATTGAATTTTGAATTGAGTGTGGAATTGACAAAAATATTTTTATAAAATAGAGTTTGAATTTATTTTTATAAAATATTTTAAAATTTAAAAAAGTAAAATCGTAATATTTTAAAATTAAAATATTTAAAAATATTTAAAAAATTAAAAAAATCGTAACATATTTAAATATTAAAATATTTAAAATCTTAACAAAATTAAAATATTTTTTAATGAGTTTGAATAATTTTAAATTAAGTGAAAGGGGTCAGCGCTCATCACGAGATATATAAAAGGCATTCAATTTTCTCACTCTAATCTTTTCAACTTTTCTTATTTTTTTATTTTTTTTTTTTAATAAAATATGGGGCTCCACCAAGATGAGTCGGTCAATGCGAACGCATTCATGAGCCATTTCCTCATAAACATTTCCGTAGCATTATTGAAATGGAAATGACTCTCTTCTCAGTTCTGTCCCTCTCTCTCCTCATCTCAGTCTCTCTACCCTCCCCTTCTCTCTCTGAACCTGAACACTGCAACTCCGAAGACAAAAAAGTCCTCCTCGAAATCAAAGCAACCCAACCTGAGTACTTGGCCGCATGGAACGCAGCTATCGATTGCTGTGATTGGGCTGGTGTGGAGTGTGACGAAACCACCAGTCGTGTCATTGACCTCGCCATCTTCGGCGGCAACTTCTCCGGCCAAATCCCTCCCGTCGTCGGCGACCTCAAACACCTCGAATCCTTAGTCTTCCGCAAACTCCCCAACCTCACCGGAAAAATTCCTTTTGCCATTACCAAACTCATACACCTCAAAGAGATCAGATTGAGCTGGACCAACCTCTCTGGTCCTGTCCCTTCATTCTTTGCTCTGCTCAAAAACCTAACCTTCCTCGACTTGGCCTTCAACAACATCATCGGTTCGATCCCTCCCGAGCTAGCCCAACTCACCAACCTCGGCGCCATTCACTTAGACAGGAACAAGCTCACCGGAACCATCCCCGAATCCTTCGGAAAGTTCACCGGAACAGTCCCAGACCTTTATCTCTCTCACAACCAACTCACTGGACCAGTACCAAAGTCTTTGGGTAACTTGAACTTTACAGTCCTTGATTTTTCACGTAACCAGCTTTCTGGTGATTTGTCATTCATCTTCGGATCCAACAAAACCATACAGATAGTTGACTTTTCGAGGAACATGTTCGAGTTTGATCTCAGCAACATTGTGTTTCCGGCGAGCTTGACATCGTTGGATTTTAACCACAACAAGATCTTTGGGAGTCTTCCGGCGGACTTGACGGCTCTGAATTTTCAGTTCTTGAACGTGAGCTACAATAGGCTGTGTGGTGCGATCCCGACAGGTGGAAAGTTGCAGAGCTTTGATCTGACATCGTATTTCCACAACAGGTGCTTGTGTGGCGCACCATTCCCGGTCTGCTAAGTTTCAAGTTTCAAGTCAACATTGTAATAATAATTTGTTTCAATAATAATAGCGTGAACTTACATTTCGCTTCATTAGGGAGAGCCAAGCACTTGTCAATTTGGGCAAAAATTGTGAATCAGACTTGCATTATCTTTAAAAATAAAAAAAACAAATTTGAGTAATAATTCTATAATTTATCTTCAGTTTTAATATGGTCTCCTTTATTTTTAAAATTGTAACACATTTATCATCTAGGTTCCATTTGTTTTGTCAAAATTATTATTTTTTTTAATGAGATTATTTTATTTTATTTTATGTTGTCTGATTGGCCAAAAAATTAGTGAAATATGTTTTAAATAAAATACTAATCACCATAAAATGTAAATGATTTACATTTAAAATTTGCGTAAGTTTTTATCTTTATTTCTTATTTTTATCCATTACAGTCGACGCTACTCGATGTACATAAAATGTTTAAAATATTTATTTTCATTGATTTTTTCTTTGTTTTTGGCAAAAGAAAATTTTTTATTGATGATAAGTAGAATACAAGATACAACACAAAAATAAAAAACGTAAGGGAAAAACAAGAAGGATCATAGCTAAAGTGAGTAATCTCAACTATGTTGGCACCACACCGCACCCAATCATTTGCTAGCTTAGCCTTAGGTTGATGAGAAACCAAGAAAAGGAAAACAAACATAAGCAACCAAAATAGCCTTCCACTCATAGTAGCAGCCCCTCCCATGGCCTGAGCTGGTGCTGATACAAATTGTTCAACCCTTCCCTGCAGCTGCTAAGAGTTAATCATGCAGGCTCTGATCTGACTCAAATTATACACATTGTCCTGAACAGAATAATGCACCCCTTCCGGATTATATTTGCTCCAATTTTTCTTTTTGGGTAAGTTATTTTCTCCAAATTGCTATCCTTACTCTCATCAATTCTCCTAATTCCTCCCAATCTACTTGCTTATTGTTGGAAAGACAAATCATGTCTAGCCCTCCACATTGACCACATCATTCCTAAGGGAACAAGTTTCCAAATTTTAAAGGCGAACTTTTTGAATTTGGTGCCTGACCACCATTGAAGGAGCCCCTCTATTGAACCTGGCATTACCCGTACCATTCCTCACCAATTCATCATGTCAGCCCACACTTTCCACACCCAAGGATAGAATAGCAACACGTGATTAACTGTCTCTTCCTCAGAGTTGCAAAACAAACATAATGTATTGGTTTCTTCGTTAAGCACCCCTAATCTTTGCATGAAGGAAGATGTTTTGATCCTGCCTCTCCAAGCTAACCACCCAAAGAATTTTACTTTGGAGGGGTCTGCATTACTCCATAACCCATCTGTGACTTTGATCACAGGGCCCTCAGTAGCTTCCCACCATTTCCAAGCTGCCGCTACACTAAAGGTTCCAGATGGATAAGCTGCCCAGCTATATGAATCTTCTTTCTACAAATTAATGATGGAAGCATCCCTTAACATGTCATGCAACCTATGTACCTTACCTCCTCCTCTTCCCATTCTAGCAAAGCTCTTCTAAAAGACAGGTTCCATTCTCTTGATGTTCCTCTCCCTTAGTACTGTTGAAGCAGTGAGCCTTCCTTACACTACAACAAAACTGGGTTTTCATGGCATCGCATATACAATAAATGCAAGCTAGAATTTTTCACTTTTACGACTTTCTTTTTTCACATGTCATAAATAATCTCTTAACCACAACATATCAATCGCCTACGCTGTTAATGCTAATAATGATAATTTCTTTACGGCTTGTAATGTTAACCATAAATAGATAAATTTTTTACGACATGCGTAAAGCATGCTGTTAATACATTAAATCTATACGACACGCGTATGCTTGCCGTTGAACATGTTTCCCTTTACACAACATACAATTTCTGTTGTGAAATCTATGACAGGAAAACAAGTAGCGCCAAAAACAAAAAAAAAAAACAACAACACTAATTCTAGCGTCAAACACCAAAACACATAAATAAGTAATAATAAAAAAAACAAATATAGCAAAATATATCAAAATACATCTCTATATCTCCATGTCTCTATATCTATCTACTTTATCTTCTCTTTGCTTCTGAAAACCCTCCATCGTCCTTTCTATGTCACAGTCACTGACCTCAATTTGATCCCACTTCTCTCCATCGCAGATTGGCGATAAGGGTTTTAGGATGTTGATTTGGGTCGAGCAATTGACGATAGGGATTTTAGCGTTTTGATTTGGGTGTTCTTTTTTCAATGGAGGTGAAGATTGATTTTTTAGGTTTGATATGCGTGATATCCTTGTCTCACAAGGGCGTCACCAATTGCTGCCGCTATGACTGCTAACCATCCTGACTATGCTTCTATGAGTTCCATTTCTTTTCTGTTATGGGTTTCCATCAATTTATCGATATATGCTTCCTTTATTAGGGATGGCAATGGATAACCTACCCTGTGGGTATCCTTGGAGACCCAACCCAAATATATGGGTTTTCCCCTTTTTTTTTATCCATTGGGTAGGGTAGGTGATATTCTTTGAATATCCACAGGGGATGGGTTGGGGATGGATACCCACTAATTTCCCCATATGTTTTTTTATTTTTTTTATTTTAAGATTCACAACCAAAACTAAATATACATTCAATCTTTTTTCTTTTATTTATTTATTTATTTATTTCAGGTTCACAACCAACTTTTTTTTTTTTTTTTTTTTAATCCACAACCAAAGCTAAATATACCTCTAATCTTTTTTTTTTTTTTTATTTTTTATTTTTTTCAGGTTCCCAACCCTTTTTTTTTTTTTTTTTTAAGATTCACAACTAAAACTAAATATACATTCAATCTTTTTTCTTTTATTTATTTATTTATTTATTTCAGGTTCACAACCAACTTTTTTTTTTTTTTTTTAATCCACAACCAAGCTAAATATACCACTAATCTTTTTTTTTATTATTATTTTTTATTTTTAAGGTTCACAACCATTTTTTTTTTAATTTTTAAGATTCACAACCAAAGCTAAATATACATTTTGTTTTTTTCCTTTTTTTAATTTTTTTTAAGGTTCACAACCAAAGCTAAATACATTCAATCTTTTTATTTTATTTGGCTCAACAATAAAATCAAAATAACACTTTAATTAATATTGTCACATTATTCTTGTCAAATTTTATGCATATCTAGAATTTTTTTAATTTATTTAAAAAAATTAAGGATATTGTCTGTGCATGTTTCAGTTGCTTTTTTAGTTATTTATTTTGTTATGTATTGTAATTTTTAGAATGGTTTGCTTGTTCTAAATTTCAATTAACGAGTATGAATCTATTTGTTTTATGTTATCACACAATTATACAACATATATATATATATATATATATGAATGTATTTGAAAATAGGCAAAATTGTAGAGAATGGAAACAAGCATGAGTCGTGATGGTTAGAAAGGATGGGTACAAAGATTTATGTGCTGGAAAAAACAAAAAGGGGATACAAAGTTTTACTAAATAATTTTTTTTAAATAAAAGAATTTTTCTTAGTTATGAACAGATTTAACTGAAATCAGCTTGTTTCCCAATGTTATGCTTCATTTATTTAGATAGAAAATATTTTTAATGAAAAATATTTTTATAAAAAAATAAAAATACATTTTTTTATATTTGGTGGTGGTGGTGATGAAGAACGAAGGTGAAAGTAGAGATTGTGACATAGGTGTGGGGTGATTGGCGGTATCGATGGTAGTGGCTATGGTGATGGTAGTGTGACAGTGAAAGTGAGAATAGTGGTGATGGTGTTGTGAAATTAGTAAAAATTTAATTGAAAAAATATTTTTTGTTTTTTAAAAGTAACAAACAACAAAATTCGTGGGGGACTAAAGGAAGAAGATGGAGGATGGATTGGGTGTGGTAAGGCATAGATATCTTAAAATGAGTGGTTCAGATTTGTAAAAGGTATAATTAGATTTTGGATAAATTAAAATGAATGGTTCAAATTTGCTAAGAGAAAGATGGTTGAATGTCTAACAGGTTCTTTCACATTTTATTTCTTCAAACAGGCTCTTATAAAATTGTAAATAGGTTCTTATAACATGTAGGGGAAAAGAGTGAGAGAGAGAGAGATGGTTGTAATTTTTTTTTTAATCTTCCACGTTCTTCCACATTTTTTTTAATTACTAAAACTTATTTGATTGTCTCAAAATTATATATTTGATTATTATAAAACAAACTTTTTAATTAATTAATTAATGTGTATTTGATTTTGTTGTTGAACCAAATAAAATAAATAAGATTGAATGTATATTTAGCTTTTGTTGTGAACCTTAAAAAAATAAAAAAAATAAGTTGTTAACATTAAATATATTAAAAAAGAAAGAAAAAAAAGAAGGTATATTTAGCTAAAACCTTTATAAAAAAAAGAAAAAGAAAAAAGAAGTTGTTAACATTAAATATATTAAAAAAGAAAGAAAAAAGATTGAAGGTATATTTAGCTTTTGTTGTGAATGTTATCAAAAAAAAAAAAATTTGTTAACGTTAAATATATTTAAAAAGAAAGAAAAAAGATTGAAGGTACATTTAACTTTTGTTGTGAACCTTAAAAAAAAAAAGTTGTTAACATTAAATATATTTAAAAAGAAAGAAAAAAGATTGAAGGTATATTTAGTTTTTGTTGTGAACCTTAAAATAAAAAAATAAAAAAAATTGTTGTTAACATTAAATATATTAAAAAAGAAAGAAAAAAAATTGAAGGTACATTTAGCTTTTGTTGTGAACCTTACAAAAACAAAAAAAAAATTTGTTAACATTAAATATAAAAAATAAAAATAAAATAAAAATGGGGATTAAAGTGGGTTGGGGAAAATCCAAACCCATTAGGAAATGGGGAGGGTGGTACCCATGGGGAATGGGGAATGGGGAATGGGGAAAATTTATTATAGGGGAATGGAGATGGGGAATTAATATCCACCCCATTAATCCCCATTGCCATCCCTATCCTTTATTCAATTATTCCCCTCAATTTGTTCATAACGAGTTTGATATCTGCCCTTCAATTTCTGATTTTGGGTTCTAGGTTTGGTTTTTTTGGTTATGGATTTTGCAAATATGTGAGTATGTTTATAAGGGTTTGGATTTTTGGTTTGGAATGTGGGTTCAATTCCTTCTTTACTTTCTATTTTTGTATTTTTCTTATTTATTCTGTTTTCGGTGTCTTTGTTTGTTGAGAATTATTTTTAGATTCGGAAAATGTTGGTTGCACTTGCGGTGGTTGCTAATGCATCCCAATATATACATACATACATATATAGAGAGAGAGAGAGGGAGACAGAGAGAGAGAGAGAGATTCCCTCTCAAGAAGGTTTTCTTTCAACTTTTGAGGCTTGAGGAGCTTCCCTCCTTCATGGGTAAACAATCCCCCCTCTCTCTCTTTCAAGAATTTGTTCTTGTTAATAATAGCCGAAGATCGATAATGATAATTCAATATTTTCTTTATTATTAGCCTTTTGTTTAATTAATTAGTTATTCAATATTTTCTTTATTATTAGCCTTTTGTTTAATTAATTAGTTATTGATTTAAGGATAAATTACAATAACAGTCTCTATAATTTAGTCATTATATCATTTTGATTTTTAACTTTTCAATTGTGATACATTTAATCTTGAATTTTGAATCTTATTCTAAATAAGGACAATTGAAGTTACCATTGCTCAATTCAAGAGCAAAGTCGTCAATTTAATAAAATATAAACTACTTTGAGAAAAATAAATGTCAAAAAAAATATTTTTAAATTTTAAAAATTATTTCTACAGATAAAATTATGTAAAATTGATAAATTTTCTATATATTTATTTTTTTTACCAAATTAATTTTTATTATGTGTTTGGATGATGATTATATAATGAGTGATTATTTTTATTTTCATTAAATTAGTTTCTATTTTTTTAAAAGTCAAGTATGTCGGTAATTTTGATATCATTATTAAGCTAATCCATTAAATTAAAAAATCTAAAAATAAAAATATTTCATAAATTAAATATATCGATTGCACATTAAAAGCCTAATATATTTTCCGCCAGATCCATTGTAGATCCAACAGATCTGTGCCGTGGTTTTGGTTTTGGTGCTCCGAAAGATCTGAGGGAAAGGGGTGAGAAGATGGAAGAGAAACCTCACGTCGATAGTGGTGAAGAAGCTGCCAAGGGTGTGGACAGGAATGACGACAAGTAGGATTTGGTTAGGGAAAATAAAAAGGAGTGAGAGAGAGAGAGAGAGAGAGAAAAGAGGACTAGTTTTGATTTTTCGGCAATGTATATCATATATGTATAGAGAGAATATTTTGGTCATTTAACCTAAACTTGTCCTTATAGACAAGTTAATTTAGGGCCTGAACCTCTGCCCAAACAAAATTTAACATTGGATTTTTGGCCTGAACGTCCAATTATTAATTAAGTTTACATATAATTTGTAAGAATTATTAATTTAGATTGGGAAGTTAAATTAATTAACTTGAATTTTTGTTAATAAACCAACTATCCATTACAATCGATACTACTCGACATACGTATTAAATCACACCACTTTTATACCCACTAAACATGTCTCTCTCTTTCTCTCTCTCTATATATATATATATTAGGGGCAATTACAAAAAAAATCTCAAAGTTTAAACATTGTAACAATATAAATTTGAATTTTTAATTTTATTAACTTGGTGCTTCGAAAGATTTGAGGGAAGGGAGTGAGAAGATGGAAGAGAAACCTCATGGCGATAGTGGTGGAGGAGTTGCCGAGGGTGTGGACAGGAATGGCGATAACTAGGATTTGGTTAGGGAAGATTAAAAGGAGAGAGAGAGAGAGAGAGAGAGAGAGGACCTCACGACGATGGCGGCGGAGAAGTTGTCTAGGACGTGGACTGAAATGGCAACAACTAGGGTTTGGTTTATGAAGATGAAGAGGAGGGAGAAAGAGAGGGGAAGAGAAAGAGAGAGAGGAGGAGTAGATTTGATTTTTTGGCAATGTATATCATATAGAGAATATTTTATTCATTTAATCTAAACTTGTCCTTATAGCAATGAACCTTTGCCCAAACAAAATTTAGAATTGGATTTTTGGCCTAATTACCTAATTATTAATTAAGTTTACATATAATTTGTAAAAATTATTAATTTAGATTGTAAAATTAAATTAATTAACTTAATTTTTATTTTTAAACCAACTAAGACCATGAAAATAAAAAAATATTTGAATGCTCTTAAACTTTGACAAAATTTAGAGGCCCAGGCCGATATTTGTAAAACAATTTCTTAATTTAAAATAAAAGATAAATTAACTAATGAAAGTCTTCCATCTCGATCTACCGATTGATAGTTTGCTGGCATCCGTTTGGAAATTGACTACGTTATTACAAGCTGTATTTCACTGACCAATATTATAATAAATCAAAATATCATCAGTTTGAAATCTTTTGGTGTTGGTTAATATAATCAATTTTTTTATTTATCTTTTTTAATTTAATTTTTTTAGTCTTATTTGATTTTTATTTTTAAATTTTTTAATTTTTATAAAAAAAATATAATAATTATAAGTAAAAAGTGATAATTTACCTTATTGACTTATATAATTTATTTTGTCAATTTATATTTTTTTAATTTCAAAATCTTAGCAAAACGAGCACCGCCTTATTTGCCATTCCTAAAAAAAAGTAAAAAAGTAAAAAACTTATTATTCTATTTAAGTCATATCGTCTTATTTAAGTCATATTATTTCTTTAACATATCATTTTAAATTTTCTAACTCATGTTTCATAAAAAAATAAAAAAATATATTTATTTACGGCATTCTAAACCTTATCTTTCACAATTCGTTCGTCAAAAGAGCAGCTAGACCGCATTCCGGCGAGTAATATCCACGCTCGATTCACGATGTCAATGTCATGAGCAAATGTCGAAATCTCTATAAATAGAAAGGCTCTACATGCTTCGTCTATCATCTCAATAAACCAAAATAAAATAAAAATAAAAATGAAGATGAAGGTGACTCTCCTCTCTGCTCTGATCCTCTCTCTCTTTCTTTTTCTGTCTCTACCCTCCCCTGCTCTGTCCGAACCAGAACGCTGCAACTCAAAAGACAAAAAAGTCCTCCTGGAAATCAAAGCAGCCCTAAACAACCCCTACCTCTTGGCCTCATGGAACCCAGCCACCGATTGCTGTGATTGGTACGCTGTGGATTGTGACGAAATCAGCAGTCGCATCATTTCCCTCACCATCTTCGGTGGCAACCTCTCCGGCCAAATCCCTCCCGCCGTCGGAGACCTCCCATACCTCCAAACCTTAGTTTTCCGCAAACTCTCCAACCTCACCGGCCAAATCCCTTCTGCCATTACCAAACTCAAACACCTCAAAATGATAACATTGAGCTGGACCAACCTCTCTGGTCCTGTCCCTTCATTCTTTACTGAGCTTAAAAACCTTACCTTCCTTGACCTGTCCTTCAACGACCTCACCGGTTCGATCCCTCCCGAGCTAGCCCAACTCACCAACCTCGGTGCCATTCGCTTAGACAGGAACAAGCTCACCGGAACCATCCCCGAATCCTTTGGAAAGTTCACCGGATCAGTCCCAGACCTTTATCTCTCTCACAACCAACTCACTGGACCAGTACCAAAGTCTTTGGGTAACTTGAACTTCACAGTCGTTGATTTTTCACGCAACCAGCTTTCTGGTGATTTGTCATTCATCTTCGGATCCAACAAAACCATACAGATAGTTGACTTCTCAAGGAACATGTTCGACTTCGATCTCAGCAACGTGGTTTTTCCGGCGAGCTTGACATCGTTGGATCTGAACCATAACAAGATCTTTGGGAGTCTTCCGGCAGGCTTGACGGCGCTGGATTTTCAGTACTTGAACGTCAGCTATAATGGGCTGTGTGGCCCGATTCCGACGGGTGGGAAGTTGCAGAGCTTTGATCTGACGTCCTATTTTCACAACCGGTGCTTGTGTGGCGCTCCACTGCCGGCCTGCTAGTATGTATCTTCAGCAAGTCCAGTTTGGAAGTTTGAAGTTTGAAGTTTGAGTAATAGTGTTTGTCTTGTTTCAATAATGAATAGTGTGAATTTACATTCCGTTCAGGTCAATTTGGACACAAATTGTGGATAAGGCTGTATTGTTTTTGGGTGAATAGACTCTTTATTGTCTTTATAAATAAAGACAAATTTCAGCAATAATCCTACAATTTTTCTTCATTTTTGATTTGGTGGCCATTATTAATATATTTGTCATTTAGTTTTTTGATTTTGTGCGATTTGCCTTGTTTTCAACTGGATATAGTCATGTGGAACTCGTGTAACCAATTTTCAAGAATAAAATCGACGGCTTTATTTTCAGAATATGCTTTCCAAAATTCTCTCTAACGGAAGCGCTAATGGCAACCGCAGTCTACACTTAAATCTGAGACTGAAAATCAGAAAGCTGCTTCGAAGACAATGAAGGGTGTCGGAGAAAGAAGGGTGTGTCGAAGTCCATCAAGTCCGGCCTGAAGTCCACTGTAGATCGGAGCACCAAGATGGTTGTTTGCAATGATAGCCATTGCCAAAGATCTGTTTTCTCATTGTAAATGTAAAATCCATTGTTTTATTTTTTATTGTTTGTATTATATGATTGAAGAATTGAAGAAGCATTTGAATTGATTTATGCGTGACCTTGATACATGGCAGGATCAATCACTTTTGTTTGTATTTTAAGTTGAATACACACAATGTTAAGTAATTTTCAATTCTGAGACTAATAGGGTGGTAGAGTGTCTATGGTTTGTGCAAATAAAATTTATTGACCTTGTAGAGATAAAATCGCTCGAGCTTACACATTGCAAGACAACTCATCGGTGCGCAGCAAGGAAATGAAGAAGAAGAGATACAATTTCGAGAGGTTGAATTCAAATGAGAATTTAAATTCGGGCTTGGGGTTCAAATGCAGGTGAAACATTTAAAAAACATGCAACTCAATCTAGAATTAGGATTAGGGTTTGGATGTTAGGTGATGCAAGGAGGAGAAAAGGCAAAGGAAGTAGCTTTCATGCCTATGAGTGGAGTGAAAACTCGCTGTTAATACCTTAATTTTACCAATTCTCATAAAATAATAACAGTTCCAATTCGTAGCTCGAAATTCGGAGACTCGAATTTGGCTCGACACCAAAACGACGTCGTCTCGTTTTGGTGTCCTCTTTTTTTTTCTTTTTTTTTTTCCGTGTTTTTTTTGAAGATGAAATAAATTATTTCTAGATGTTGATCTGCATAATTTGGTTTAGAGAATAAGATGAACATCCAGATCAACATCAATGAAGAAATAAATAAAAGAGAAGAAGAAGATGAACAATTTGGTCTTTGATCTGAAGATCAACATCCAGATCAACATCCACATCCACATCTGAAGATCAACATCCAGATCAACATCCACATCCACATCTGAAGATCAACATCCAGATCAACATCCACATCCACATCTGAAGATCAACATCCAGATCAACATCCACATCCACATCTGAAGATCAACATCCAGATCAACATCCACATCCACATCTGAAGATCAACATCCAGATCAACATCCACATCCACATCTGAAGATCAACATCCAGATCAACATCCACATCCACATCTGAAGATCAACATCCAGATCAACATCCACATCCACATCTGAAGATCAACATCCAGATCAACATCCACATCCACATCTGAAGATCAACATCCAGATCAACATCCACATCCACATCTGAAGATCAACATCCAGATCAACATCCACATCCACATCTGAAGATCAACATCCAGATCAACATCCACATCCACATCTGAAGATCAACATCCAGATCAACATCCACATCCACATCTGAAGATCAACATCCAGATCAACATCCACATCCACATCTGAAGATCAACATCCAGATCAACATCCACATCCACATCTGAAGATCAACATCCAGATCAACATCCACATCCACATCTGAAGATCAACATCCAGATCAACATCCACATCCACATCTGAAGATCAACATCCAGATCAACATCCACATCCACATCTGAAGATCAACATCCAGATCAACATCCACATCCACATCTGAAGATCAACATCCAGATCAACATCCACATCCACATCTGAAGATCAACATCCAGATCAACATCCACATCCACATCTGAAGATCAACATCCAGATCAACATCCACATCCACATCTGAAGATCAACATCCAGATCAACATCCACATCCACATCTGAAGATCAACATCCAGATCAACATCTCTAGACGTGGATGTCTGGTTCAGTTCCTCCGTCTAGAGTTGTGTTTATCAGCATCCATGGTGAAAAGGGGAATGTTTCTTATCCATGTGGAATCGAGGAAGTGAAAGCTCTAGTTAAGGAATGGGTGGCTGACGTTTTTAACTCTTGGGAAAGAACTAATTTCCCTTTCTCCATTATCGACCTTGAGAGTGAAAGTGGGAGATCAATGGGAGAGCCTTGCCATTATTCTATTCTCTATCCATTTTGCCTTCTTCTTCACCCAATCTCTTATCTCCATCATCTCCTTTGTTGTTGTGTTCCTAAGTTGAGATTATTGAAGAATCTAAGCCTCTCATCATATTCTAGAGAATTCGATCTTCGAATTTTCCAACTCCTTTCTTGAACCCTCTCCTACACAAATAAATAAAAAATTTTCTTCTTGTTGGTTCAACAAAAAAAATATACAGAACAGAATAACTTTTTTTTGGATTCATCATCATCAACAACTTTTATTTATTTATTTTTTTCCAGATCCAGAACAAGTAAAAAATAAATAAATATACATAACATAATTTTTTGCACCGCCATAATCCAGATCAAATTTTTTTTTTAACAGCTTCAGATTTTGAACATCATCATCATCTTCATCATCTTCAACATCATCATCATCTTCAACAGCTTCAGATCGCCGACCAACAGCTTCAGATCGCCGACCGCCATCACCGCGCCATCACCGATCTTCCTTCTCTTCTCTCTCCTTCCCTCTCCCTCCTCTCCTCTTCCCTCTCTGTCTCTGTGTTCGAAAGAATGAAGGGGAAAGAATGAAAATGAAAGAAATAAAGAAGAAAAAGAGAAAAAAAAAAAAAAGACAGCCCAAAACGACGTCGTTTTAAGCTATCGAGCCATTCGGGCCACAGTGATTTCGAGCTACCACTCATTTTTCAAATAATAGATAGTAAATTCAAACAAATAAAGATACACAAAATAAATAAATAAAGATACAAAAGTAAAGTAAAAAAGGAAGATGAAAAAGAAACCAAAAAAGCAAAAACAATAAAATAAAATAATAAATAATAATAATGAAAGTAAAGAAAGTAAAAAAGAAGCAAAGCAAAATAATAATAATAATAATAATAATAATAATAATAATAATAGTAGAAATACTAAAAGGATAAAAACAAGCAAGGCAACTAAGCAGAGCAGCTAAAGTGGCCAAACAAGGTTCCAGCCCTAGATAGATGCGAACACCAACTCAGCCACCAGTTCAAACAGACAAGGACGGGACCACTATAAAATCATAAATACCTCATAAATATTTTAAGTATAATATATGTTATTTAATTATAATTTTTTATTTTATTAAAATGTAATTTTTGAAAGCATGATCACACTTTTTGACTATCATCAAAAAAATAAAAATAAAAAAAAATATCACGTGTTTTGACTGTGATAATAAATATTTAGGTTTATTATAAAAAAATTTTAAAATTTTGCTTGTTTTTCAATTTAAATCCCAAAATTTCAATTTCGACAAATTAAACCCTAGAGTTTCATCCGTGTTTCAATCTGACCTCTCCATATATTTCCCTTATATTAAATTAATGGAAATCTAGAATTTCAGATTCAAGCCCACATGTTCAAATACCTGTATCTCCCTCGTCGTAACTCCGTTTTGTCTCATTTTTGCGTTGTTGGATTCACCTCATGGCCTAGTTTTCATTTCATTCTTCATACGCCTTGTGCCGTATCTTTTTATTTGCCGTCAAAGCTTCGAAAGTCGGCCAAAAATAAGATTTTTCTTTCTTTGGGCAAAATTTTCAGATTTAAATTCACATATTCAAGCATTTGTATCTCCTTCGTCTTAACTCTATTTCACCTCATTTTTGCGTTGTTAGATTTAACTCATGGCCTAATTTTTATTCCACGCCTCATATGCCTTGTTCTACGTCATTTTGCATGCCTGTTAGCTTATTTTTCCTACGAAGGAAAATATCATAAATACGAGCGTGCCAGCAAGGATTGAAAAGTCCTTGCAGATTAAATTCAAGCCAATTATCAAGCGATTGTGTTGACGGTTCTTTTGCCTCAACGAAGAGGACTTCAAAATTGTCAAGTGTAGAGAAAAGAAAAATTAAAAGATGAATGAGGGAGACGGAGAAAGACGATTGAGTGAACAATCAAAGTAATAATTACTTACCTCTACTCCTATGCTTCGAAAAGGAAGTGCATAAAATGCTTCGAAATGGAAATACTGAAAACAAATACTTCGAAATATAAATCTATGTTAAACTACTCCTAAGATAAGGAAAACGACAAGAAATATTGAAATCAATTGTCTTTGATTATGAATTTTGGATCCTTTACGATGTAGCCATTAATGGCTATTTATAGAGGAAAAAATACAGTAATAACTACTTAGTAACTACCCATTTCTTTCATCTTCATTCTTGTCTTGCCATGTGTCCTTCCACTCATCCACTTTGTCCTTCATATTCTCCATCATCTCTATAACTCCTTTTAACTTCCAAATGAATAAGAGAATGCCACGTGTCTTGAAAATAATAATAATAATAATAATAATAATAATAATAATAATAATAATAATAATAATAATAATATTTTATGGTGCCAACATTACCCTCCGCGGTCCTTAAAAATAATATTTACTTGAATTTTTTAAGGGCCGAACCAAGCACATGACTAATCTAATCAATAAAATGCTTCGAATAATATCAACAAAGTGCTTCGAATGATATAATAGTATCAATAAAGTGCTTCGAATGATGTAATAGCACCAATAAAGTACTGCGAATGATATAATAGCACTAATGAAGTGCTTCAAATAAGTATGAAGTGCTTCAAATAAGTCTTTTGCATACAGACTGTCACAGCTCATTGGACATTGTTTATTTACTGTTTTGGCTTCCGCCAGGCCCTGTACTCTGTATTACTGTATTACTGTTCTGCAGGCCTTCGGTAATCTCGGATTACTGGCCGGTTACGGTGCTAAACCCATAGGGC